AAGCATGTTTTCTCTTCTACATGAAGTCGAAGGTTCGGTGTATCCTGTGTCATCTTGGTATTTAATTCTTGAGGAAAGCCATCATAATTCCCTAGCATTTATTCACTCGGTTTATCTATGTTTTTGTATGTCTACGAATGGTTTTACTCTGTCCACAGAGACTTGAGTATGAACATTATCGCTAGTTTTGATCAGGAAATATGTGGATGATATTTATAAGACCGTGTAAGGACCTCAATATGGTATTTCTAACTTCTTCCTAATACGATCTGTTCTAATCCAGAATTTATAAAAATTTTGAAGATTTTAGGGATTTATTAGATCTTTTGGAAAAATCTCCAGTTTCAAACTGGAATATAAACTTATATAACTCCTTTGTGAAATGCTCAGTTACAATTTTAATATTTTTAGTGTCTATAAGTAACTGTAGTAGTAAAAATTTGTATACCTGTAATAGTATAAAACGGAGAAAAATCAAAACAGTTAGCTATGCTACGAATTCTCATAAGAACTGTTAGTATGTGTGAAAGCCAGGATTACTTTCGTGCTACAATAGCAGTTTTAATGGTCCTGTAAGCCCCTCACACGTAAACAGTTACCTTTAGGGTGATAGGCAGTTGTGCGTAACCTACACAAAACAATTTGTTTGGACAGCACAGAAAACAATTCGTTTTCGAATTGTCTTCCTCGGTCTTTTATAACGTCCAGAGAAACATGTGATCGATGCATTTACAAATGTAATGATACACATGATACACAAAATTCTTTAATTGTTTCATCCATGTTTGAACAAATATATCTAACCTTAATCATTTTAATAGATGACTCAATGCCAGCGTGTGATATTGAATGTATGCTATTAAATATGGATTCACATTATTTAGAAGGAAGAAAAGGTCTAGGGTAAGACGTGGATATATCACACAATACAAACTGGATATTTTCAGATAAGGTAAACCTTTTTAAATTTTGAAAGGGTTTTTGAAAGATCTACAAAAATCCTCATTTTCTCTCTCCTTTAATCCTGTTCTTTTATTAGTCTCTCTCTCTCTCTCTCTCCCTCCCCCTCTCTCTCTCCCTTCCCCTCTCTCTCTCCCTCCCCTCTCTCTCCCTCTCTCCCCCCTCCCTCCCCCCCTCCCCTCTCTCCCCTCTCTCTCCTCCCCCTCTCTCCCTCCCCTCTCCCTCTCTCTCCCTCTCCTCTCTCCTCCTCCCCTCTCTCCCCCCTCTCTCTCCCTCCCCCTCTCTCTCCCTCCCTCTTTCATTCACTCCTAGTAATTCCACTTGCGTCCTTTGCTTGAGGTGAAATAATTAAAATCAAATTTATGTGTGTGTGTGTGTGTGTGTGTGTGTGTGTGCGTGTGTTTATACGCAAGGTTGTTCTCCAAATGTTTTAACCCTGGATATGCTCTTTTTCATAGTTATTGCAAATTGTTATAATTTCTTGCCTTGTTGCAGGAATTAAATAGCAAGGTAGAGTGGGCTCTCTGCCCGGGCCATTCTTAAAGCAGGAAAACTCTTCCAAGCCATAGAGAAGACAAAGAGAAACAACTCCACCATCTTTCCTATGAGGAGATAATAGATAAAAGTACGCTAATGAGAATCATGATCGTCTCCGTCCTCAAGGAATTTGGTATTTTTTTTTTTTTTAAATGTTTACAACCTACCTCATATTTGACCAATTCTAAAACGTTAATTCCTCCCAAATTAACAGCGACGTACCCTCTCCCCACCTCACCCGGACATCAATTTGTATGTAATAACGCTGTCTGGAACATAAACAGACCGTTGAATTCATTAAATTAAATCGCTGAAAGGTTAAAACACTAGAAATTATTTCTTTTTTATGTCCAAAATCATATTTCAAGCTATCTTGGCTGTTGATGGGAAGGTGAGGCAAAACATATGATACATTTTGACAAAAATATTTAGTAAAAATATAATCGCCATTTACACTATCTTCATTGTTCGAACTATTTATTGTCATTATCGTCATATTCACGATGGTTTCGGCTGTTCTATGATCCAGACTTCATCAGGTGATATACGTTGGAATTTTGAACCGAACCATTTATTTAGTCCACTGGATATCTAAGTTTCAGTTATTTTCCCTTTAGCAATTCACCTCTACAAATTTTGGTTCTCCAAGTTTTGGCTGTGGCTTAAAGTATTAAATTGACGACTCTTTCGGCCAAGTCGCTGAGTTACTTCAGCCAACGCTTTCAGCCATATCTTATCCCTGGCAATTGGTCAAATGCTGATAGACGGTTCTTATTACCTTAACACTCAACGCTACCCTATCCCTGTGGCCACAGAAAGTTACCGGTACGTTATCCATGAAAATTGCTCCAATGCTGATACACTGTCTTTAAGACCTTAACTCTTACCACTACACTATCCCTGTGACCTTAGAAAGTTGCCTATATGTTATCCCTTGCACGTGGACAAATGCTGATACACGGTTACTATGACCTTAACACTCAACGCTACTCAATCCCTGCGGCCATAGAAAGTTGCCAAATTCTCTCTCTCATACACTATCCCTAAGGCCATAACGTCCCTACAGGCAAGCCACCAATCTGCCACTGGGTGGTATGCCACTGAATAGTATACCACTAGTGTTTTCCACTGGTGGCCCGCTGTCGGACCTCCAGCGTGTTTCTCTCAGCAGTGTTAGCATTGCGGACCGCTAGAGGCTCATCGGTGACTGCCACCACAGGACCGCTGGTGTTACCATTGGCGTTACCATCAAATTTTTATCACCCCCCCCCCGACCAACAGACATTATTGCTAGCGGACCACTAGCGGCTTGAGTGTAGGGGCTTGCTATTGCAATACCACTATGACTATCTACATTGTTCGGACTATTTATTGTCATTATCGTCATATTCACGATGTTTCGGCTGTTGTATGCTCCAGCCTTCTTCAGGTGATATGACTAATAGTTTATTCCTGACAATTACTCAAATACAGATACTTCGTCTCTTAGACCTTAGCACTTGCCGATAACACCATCGTTCATACCTGGTCATCCATGGCGCCTTAAGATTTGCCAATACATTCTCCTTGCATAATTTTGGTCATTTTTCACTATTTCAGGACCACTTATCTCACAAGACAATTCTGTGAACTTCAAAAATAGCTAGTACAAAGATAATTATATGAAGCGTCTTATTCTGCTTACATGCTAGGCTCTATTATTCTTTTTTTGGTATGCTAATCTCTACAGCAGGTAGAACTTTGTATAACGCAAAGATAATATTGTTAATATCGACATCTGACGGAAATTGATTGTAGTCTTGATGTATTTGCATTCTGAATGGAAAATATTTCGAATTCTTCGCACAAGTTGTTGATAAAATATGTAGTCATTATATTTAAATATCTTAGAATGGATCTTTTAAAACTTTGTATCCTATTGTCGCCATACCCTCCGTGGATATTTTCAGCAAATTCCCCATTTTCATTTTGCCTGTTTAACTGTTTAATTGTATGGGCAAGAGAGGAAATCACTAGTAAAGAAAGAGTTACAAACGGCTAGTACAAAGTTGCTCATATGAACAGTCGTATTCTATGTAAATATTATGCTGTGTAAAACTGACAATTTACGCAACTTACTGATAAACAATACCTGAAAATTTTGAGTAAATCTCCATATTTCAAAACTAAATGTCTAATAGGAATCATTAGCGAATAGTTGTTTATGGTGATTGCAAAGTTGCTCATACGAGTTCTTTGTACACTCCTGTGCAAATTAATTGAAAAAAAAAAACCGCTTTAGTTTCCTTTCTTTCGCAATACGGTCAGTTTTAGACCCACTGGAATGACAGGGTGTAATTGATTTCTATTTTTTCTTCAGATGTAGTTCATTTGCAGTGGTGTACAATAATATGAATCTATTTTCGGGGTATATGATGAAATTTGTTTGACCTTGAAAAATACTGCGCCCATACACTATTCTCTCGACCGTCGATTAGTTGTCTTACCGACATTGTCTGCGAGGAAGCAAATTCTAACGCTGCACAAGCCTTACCAGTGAGCAAATCAAAGTACTATAGACTAGCCCAGAAACTCTCCTGATTTAAATCCAATCGAGAATCTGTGGTCAATCTTCAAGGAACGACTTCGTGGAATGGACATACGAAGTACTAACATGTGCACACGGTCATGTTTTATCGGAGAAATACGAAAAATGTAAATAATAACGGAATTATTCGTTTTATTTCAATTAATTTGCACAAGGGTGTAATTGTTAGGCTGAGTAAACCTTAGAACTGATCCGGCATTTTGATACACATCTCTGACCATTCTATGTAAAAGTTCCTAATTCTGAAATGGCTGTGTAAAAATAACTCTGTGGAGTACAGCTGCAAATGACCAGTACAAAGTTGCTCATATGAATAGACTCTATTTTATTTGTATGTTGCCTGTGTAATTCTTCATACATTGCCGATCCTGAGAATCGGAAGGTCTTGATTTTGAATAACGTCAACAACAATAATTTGTAAATTGTCTACTGGAGTTCTAAACGAAATCTATCCAAGATTTCAGACGAAGGAATGAGCGTCTGAGTTTTTATTATTCACATATTAATTCCTTCTAGTCTTTGTAGAACAACTGCGTCAAATAGTGTCGACAATGTTGCCGTACTTTGAACATTAATAAGGTTAAGCGAATTTCTTAGACACCTAAGATGCCTGGAAACATCTATACAGAAAAGGATAAACTGCTAAACAAATGATCAGAGTACATTTGCAATTGCAGACACGGAATTAGATTCCTAATATGCTATACATATACAAAACTAAACTAAAACAAACATTAACCTATTTGTATACACCTTTCCTCCAACCACTCAACCAGCATAGACAAACTTGAGGTATATATCCTAAATAAATATGCCACTTCTCGTAATCCCCTCGTGACTTATATTCAGACCTATATACAGACCTATTTCTTTCTGCTTCAGTTAGATAGATAGACAGACAGACAGACAGATAGTTTTATTTGACCAGAAGTGAGATAGATAGAGAGAGAGTTTTATTTGACCAGAAGTAATATAGATAGATAGATAGATAGATAGATTTATTTGACCAGAAGTGAGATAGATAGATAGATAGATAGATAGATAGATAGATAGATAGATAGATAGTGGGAGAGAGGGAGAGAGGGAGAGATAGTGTTATTTGACCATAAGTGAGATAGATAGATAGATAGATAGATAGATAGATAGATAGATAGATAGATAGATAGTGAGAGAGGGAGAGAGGGAGAGAGGGAGAGATAGTGTTACTGACCATAAGTGAGATAGATAGATAGATAGATAGATAGATAGATAGATTTATTTGACTATAAGTGAGATAGATAGATAGATAGATAGATAGATAGATAGATAGATAGATAGATAGATAGATAGATAGATAGTGGGAGAGAGGGGGGGATAGTGTTTTTTGACCATAAGTGAGATAGATAGATAGATAGATAGATAGATAGATAGATAGATAGATAGTAGAAATATTGAATGTGAGTGGGGCAGAGAGGGGAATTATATTCAACTCTCTTTCTAATAACTCAAAAAAAAATTATTATTTTAAGATTAATACCGAAAATAATTGAAGAAATTCTAAAATAATTTCGTTAAATTCAAAAACATTGCCTTCCTATTTGTTGATTATATTGCTTAAGAGAGATGTTCTTAAATTCGTATGTCGTGAAAACGGAATTTATCCCCCTCGAAGGAGAAAAAAAACAACATAAAGAAATAAAAGAGAAGGGAACAAGAAAGAAAAAAAATTCAGTTGAGGAACTGGTTTGTAATTTTTACATAACAAAGTTCAATTATTTAAACAACGAGTTGCTGCCTGGGGTCAAATGAAATTCAGCTAATTGAAGGAAAAATTTAAGGACAAGACAAACATTTTCGGGTCGATGATGTGAAAACAGTTGAAGCATGTCATCTATTTACTTCATCGTAGAAAAGCATGGTGTTAGTTTAAGAGGTGTTTATCGAAATAAACAAGTCAGGAGTGAGTTTTGTGACATGAAAATAAAGAGTAAATTCCAGTCGAATCGGAAAATTAATTTCCGGGTAAATTTGAATTAAGTTTCAATTGACGAAAGATTACGCCCCAGGATAAATAAATTTAGGCGTATAAACTTCTAATTACACAGCTGTTTCCCATTTTCAGATTAAGAAAATCGTATGAATAAGCAGAGAATAATCCACGACGAAACTGTAATAATAATAATAATTATCTGATAATAATTATGACTAATCGTAAACTGTGATGCTATAGGCGCTCACATAGAAAGGTGGTTTTATCAACGTCTCCAGTGTTTCTGTTTGATGAACCAGCAGATGGTTTCTTCTGAAGTTTGGTCTTCTAAGCAGTATCCATTTTCACCGAAGGAGAACAAAAAGTAAATGAGTGGGTGTGGATTTTGGGGCATCAAGTGGCAACAAAACCGGAAATAGGGCATATCCGGGGATTGTGTTTTATGTTTACATGTTGATCCGAATAATTTACAGGGAATTCTGAACTGAAACTTTTATTTAATCCATGACAGGGAAATATAGAATATTTTCAATTTTGTTATTTGCATTCAAACTAAATCTTCGGGGGTCTGCTGATCAAAGAATTCCAAACTGAACTGTTTATTTAATCTACGGAGTGTAGAGTCTTCTTGTTCTGCTGTCCATAATGTTATTTGACCAGAAGTGAGATAGATAGAGACAGAGAGAGTTTTATTTGACCAGAAGTGATATATATATATATATATATATATGGATAGATAGATAGTGAGAGAGGGAGAGATAGTGTTATTTGACCAGAAGTGAGACAGACAGATAGATAGATAGATAGATAGATAGATAGATAGTAGAAATATTGAAGGTGAGTGGGGCAGAGAGGGAAATTATATTCAACGCTCATTCTAATAACTCAAAAAAATTATTATTTTAAGATTAATACCGAAAATAATTGAAGAAATTCTAAAATAATTTCGTTAAATTCAAAAACATTGCCTTCCTATTTGTTCATTATTTTGCTGAAGAGAGATGTTCACATGAAGACAACAGTCTGAATAAAAAAAGATGATAACGTCTCATCCCAAAAATATCGACAGAAAGTAACATACGCTTGCTTATCCATTTAAACATTGAAGATGGAAAAAATGAGCAGCATTAATATTGTATAATGAAGGAGATTTAACTTTAATCGTTAAATTTTGTCTCCTTAAACCATTTGTTCCTCTACGTGACATTCACTTTGACTGAAAGGGGAACGGTAAGTAAACGAGTGGATAGGGGTTTTCTGAAGATCAAGTGGTAACAAAACCGGAAATAGGGTATATCCGATTGCTGGTCTATATCGACAGTCATGCTTGAAATCGTGGAGAGTCCTTGGAGGGAGACGTATGTATGCGTCACACGGTTCCGAAGCCTTCATTGGTATTTCCAAGCCATCACGTCGGGATGACTACATGGGTGAGGAGCAGAGCTGACAAATAAGTCTATAGAACGGCACACCAGGGGGTGCTTTTGGTTTGGCGTTGACTTTTACTCTGATTACTGAATGTTCTGAAGTACGCATGCGCTAGTGGCGGTGGAAAACGTCAAAAGGAGTAAAGGATGTTCGCTTGATTTCATGTTACATGTCTATGTTGTAGAGGCCGGAGAATGTTAGTGAGTATGTACCTTTTTCACCGGTTTTGTTCGAGTGGAATAAACATTGCTTGTTATGAATATTGAAGTCACCACCAATATGAAAGCTATCTGAAGGATATTCAGTGAAGATATTATCAATCGTTTCAGCTAATCGGTCGAACATTACAGTTCCGTCATTTGAGGACGACAGAGAATAAAAATGAAAGTGATACCGTGGGGAAGTATCACACGGAAGCACATATACGGGTCCTCGTTTTTGGAATCTCTGCTTCCGACCTGTCCTTAATATTGTAGAAAAATCACGTGGTAGAGATAAACACTCAGTTGTGGAGCAAGCTAAGTGAATAATAATCCAACCTTTAGAAAGAGAGCTATTTATGTTGCCATGGAGCATCTCATTGTGCTAAAGTGGGATAGTCCATTGCTTGGGCTGTGATTGGCTGCTGGTACCTGAGTGGAGGTATTTCTATATAAATACCAGCTTGATTCATCAGTTAATTTGCAGGGTCTGTATTAAGTTACAACCTGCTTTATTTTTGTCTGCCAGCTGGACGCTAGCTGGGACCTTTACGCCGGTAAGCGCTGTTTATTATTGTTATTCTACAAATATGTTCTGATTTCGTAGTCGTAATGATTTTGAGGGTCATGTTTTAATATGAGCGGCGACTAGACCAGGTTACACTCGGATAGATGGATCGAGATCAGTTTTAGGCAGGAATATGAGGTTAGGATTTGCATTGAACGATGATGTTCAACCTCTGGAAACTTGGAACATAGACGCCTTGTAGGAGATGGTGAACCAGGGGTCTACTTTTTGTTCTAGTGAGGTTGGGTCTGATGAACGCTTGACAGTTGGAACGCAGACCTCTCACTGGTGTAGGATACGGTGAATCTGGAGTCTACTTTTCTTTTTGTGTGTGTGTGTTTTTTTTTCTGTTCAATTTTGTTGTCATCGTGTTTGGAAACCAGTTAGTGTACTCGGGAGAAGGCTAGGTAAGGAGACAATCACATCGACAGGAGATGGCTTCATCAACTACCTGGTAGTACACCCGTAACAGTACCCTTCATTTCGGCATAGAGAGTCCGCTGGAGACTACAGCATAGTTTAGAACCCATTCACAAAAAGGCAATACAATGGCCCCAATATTATACACCTGCTGATAAGATAGTTTCAAAGTTACTCAAATGTTCGGGTGTCCGGGTATCAGGCGAATAATACCAAAACCCAGAAAACTTTAATGTAGATACAAGTAACCCAACAAATGAAGAATACATGTGTGATACTCTGAGAATGCATGTCTTTTGTCTAACCAGAAACTAAGGTAATTCAAATTCTTGAGTCAGAAATATTGTATAGATCTGAGACCATAGAAACCGACACAAGATGCTCTTATATATCTCGTACGAGCGCCAAAGTTAAGCAACGTCGAGACTAGTCAGTACCAATTGGGGGAATATCAAATGCTGTAAGCTTGGATATACGGGTGATGTAAAGGATAATGGCTCGAAGTAAGATCAGTCCGAATATTAATCAACTTAATATCAACTTATTTAGATTTATTGTATAAGATATACAATTGTGGTAGAAGGCCGAAAAAGAGGGAATGGGTTGAGGCTGGTCTTCACTATCTATCTGTTATACTGAAACACACCTATTCTATTGTTAATAGACTCTCCCACATATAATAAGTAGCATTAGTAGTAGTAGTCGCCAGTGAGCTCAGTGAGTTGGTGAGTCAGTCGATGTCGGACATTAACGTATCAGCCACCACAACTAGATTGCTGCGTCATTAACTATTATAACAAGTTCCTAACATTTTTGTACGTCGAACCTTTTTAGGACCGACTTAGTGAAATACAAGCCTCCGCTGTGAAACTACTCTGCAACACTATCTTATACCTAACTAATCAAATTCAGGATCCATTCACTCATTACAATTTGCATATTCAACACAAGAACTCATCCGTCACCAATTAAATACTCTGAGGGGGACCTAAAAACGCACCCCGCGATATAAAAATTTGATTATCATAAAAAATTTATACATAAAAATCTAGTGATTTACAATGAGAGGGGAGGGGATGGATGCAAAACAAACTAAATATCAAAACAAAGAGACTAAGGATAACTGATGTTAGTCGGACCCGTCCAACCCTCAACAAAGAGAGGCCGCTATATTCTGCCATAAGACAGAATCAAGAGACACTCTCGCCAAGATAGTGAGAAAGATATGGATCTGGAGAATAAAGAAAGCTGACCTAGTCGAGATTAAAAGTTGGCAGAAACAAACTGGGGATGTTTAGAATCTCAACTTGGATCATAACAAAATATGCAGCCGGAAACAACATTTAGATTAACTAGGTACACAAAGCTTGTCTAGCCTAACCAGGGGAGAGTTCCACAGGAAACCACCCCGATGTGAATTAGGTAGACCTAAAAGAGAATATCAAGGCTAGCCCCGTTCACACGAACCAAGCTCGGCTCAGCCACCCACCATTCGCTAAAATTCGTTTTCTGTCAGTTCTAATCTTCATTTTGAGCTGATACTCAAAGAATCGGATCAGATCCTGATGAGAAAGACGGTTGCCTCACAAGGCTTCCTCCTGTCGCGTCGTCCAAATCACTAATTGGGCTGTGATCAGCAGCAATAAAAACACCATTCGTTTCACCCCAGAATACGGAGGAACACATTGTCACACGCGTATGCACGATCAATGAGCATGAGCTTTTAGGGGGTGAGGCTAGCCTTCAACTCGTCGACATGGCCTCATAGGTGGCGGGCTCGAGGACAGTGGTAGAAGGCGTGCGAAGCCGTTTCTTCTAAGCCAATGTCACACCGATGACAATCAAGAAAATCCGCCAAATCCCATCTGAAAGCTACGCCATTGAGAAATAGCCTATATCGAACCAATGCGAACCAGGTAAGCGAAAAAGCAAGGTTGTTGAGGTAATCTGCCGCTGGCGCCCAAAATCAGAAGGAGCGAAGTCCCTCCTCCGATAAATCGAGCCGCCTGCGTAACGGATCATTCACGGCCTCCTCCACTAGCCCTCAATAGAAGAAGTCATAGGATGAGAAAGACCACTTGACCGAGGAATGACTCTCGCGAAGGAAATCAGATTGATCCCGGGATTTACTACGGCGCTCAACCCGCGAGATGGGGGGGGGCTGATAGTAAGGAAAGGGAAGCCGCCCGTTATAATCCCCGCCAATAATCGAATCTCCTGTCAATGATTGGCGTAGGAAAGCCAGCCTCGAGGCAAGTTTGTGATTCGCAAGTGCGACATTCCCAGCCCCCCATGACACTGACGTTGTGCACACACTACTCTGTCAACTTTATGCTTGCGTCCCCACCCCCGCCACAAAGTGGAGGATAGAAAGCGCTCGAGAGTAAATAAACGGTAAAGGAAAAGAGGAAAGACGTAAGTGGCACACGCCTCCGCCCTACCCTTCACGGACAACCTCCTTCGATGCAAAGTCTGACTGGTTGCGCAGGCCTTTGCCTGTACATCTGACCAATTTTTCTCCAGCTGGAAGTCGGGTCCAAACCACACACCGAGAATGCGGACAGGACTGTCCGTCCAACCAAAGGGCCCCGGAAAATATATACGTAAGTCGATTTTCTTTGCGCTGACACTTCCGCCATGTTCACTGAATTCGCCGCCATGATAGGACAAGCCTGGTCCTACCACGGCCAAATAAATGAAGTGTTGGTCTATAGGGCTTCTTTTTTTTTTTTTTCAAAGGCACTGAATAAAATCTTGCGACCTAAGAGTCGCAGGGAGATAACAAAAAATAACTCAAAAGAAAAACTTGGTTTGAAAACGTAAAAAAAACCCAAAAATGTCAAAAATGAAATACAAAAAACAAACTTAAGTTTGGCAAGCCAAAAAAAGAAAACAAAAAATAAACACGAAAAAGCATTAAAACAAAAAGAAAAAATTAAAGCAATAAATTTAAAATAAAAAGTTTGAAAAGTTTTGCCGATGACAAAAAAAAAAACGAAAAATAAAACGATCAATTTAAGGTAAATGACAATTGTTCAAGAAATTCTCATGGGGCAAAAATTTAGCTGGATTCAAAACAAAACATAAAAGAATCGTCTGTCCAACTTATTAATCAACTGTTGAAGTCTTTAATCGTAAACTATGAGCCAGGCCATTTGATAGAGTGCTAAATGAGTGCTAGATACTCTGTAACATTATTTATTTCCATCTACCAGGTCGAATCTTCGAGAAATCTTCTCAAAGCAAAATATTGGCATTCC